TTATACAGAAAAGATGCTTAATAGCATGTGTTTTTTTTCATGTGGTACAGATTATTCCTAGAATCATATCAGATACATGAGAACAGATTTGCATCAGACATATGTCCCCGGTGTGAGTCTGCAGTTGGTTATGCTAGACATGGATTGACATTAGTTTCTATATAAATCTTTAACTAGGCTATGAGTTCATGGCATTTTGAGCTAAGGGCAAGTGGTTGTGGTTAACATTCACACAATCTACAATCTTATATATGAAGCTGAAGGCCTTGTCCATTCACTTACCTTGTCTGTTTTCCTCTGAGATGACTTCCCTTGAGCAGTGTTGTTTCTAATCATTTCAGTGCGTCAATCTTTCTGACTGACAAAAGGTGATACGGTCATCTCTTCCAGATTCTAGTTTTTCACTGGAGGAGGTCAGGACAGGAATTTAAGCAGGGCAGGAACCAAGAGTCAGGAACCATGGAAGAGTGTTGCTAATGACTTGCTCCCTATACCTTGTTCAGCCTGCTTGCTTTCTTGTCTGTCTGTCTGTCTATCTATCTATCTATCTATCTATCTATCTATCTATCCATCCATCCATTCCAGTTCACCTTCCCTTCTCTCCTCCTGATCTCCCCACCTGCCACCCACCTCACATCTGCTCTTCAGAGATGGTAAGGTCTCCCATGGGAAGTCAAATCTGTCCCATCACCTTTTTGAGGCAGGATCAATGTTTTCCCCCTGTCTCTCACAGTGCCCAGGCTGAGCAAGGTATTCCTCCATAGAAAATGATATCCACAACGTCAGTTCATGCATTAGGGTTAGATCCTGGTTCTACTGCCAGTGGCCCCACTTACTTTCCATCTGTAAGGGGTTATAAGTTGTATAGGGTTGGGGTAGAATATAAAGTTTAGGCTCAGGAATCTTTTTGGGGGAAAAAGGGGGAATGGGTGGTATGGGATAATAGGTAGATTAATGTATCTACTTGTGAATTATTCATTATAGACAATTTACATTGGTATAGATTCTTTGTATATTGATACATATGTAAAATTATCTTTGTATTCCTGTCTCAGACAATTTGTATATTATATAAATTATTTACACTTGTAATAAATTAAATTATATTTGTAATATTGTATGTTATTTATATTTACATTTGTGTACATATTGTAAAGTTATTTTGTTATACTGTGTGTTCCTACCTCTGAGGAGATGGAATAGCATTCTCTGGCATCTGTGTATTGTCTTAGAGGTAGCTTAGAGGTCCACAGCTTATTCAAGAGTAGAACACACAGTAAGTACTCAGTATTCTTACTCAGTTAAGTAAGAAATAAGCCAGGAGTATAGCTCAATCAAAAGTGTTGGCCTCATTCACTAGGCCTGGGTTCAACACCAGCACCACAAGAAATAGCAAGGGTGTGTGCTTAAGATATTTTTGCATATTGGTGTGATTTAGGATATTTTTATCATATTGCACTATACATTTCTACATCTGATAAAGATATTTTTATATTGATACAATTTTGAGGTCATTGGCCTTTTGCTCACATCTGCTTAAAGACTGTTATATGAAGCTTTAGTCTTTCAGCTTTACAGGTTAATAGTCACCCATGTTTGTTATACTAGTACTGTTAGGGTCTTGATGTGTAGAGATGTACTCTGCATAGACAGGTAATCTTCAAACACTTCAAAGACCTGTAGAACATGGCACTTAAATAACTCAGGATTGTGTTAATGAGACATGGTTGCTCCTGGCAGCACAGATTTATTCTTGAGAATGTTGAACACCAAAGACACTCCACTTGGAGCTTGTTTTCTATGCCACTTATTTGCAAAACTGGCCTTTGGGCAAAGAACTGCTCTTGTCTCAACTGCTGACAATATGTGCACTGTTCAAACTGGAAAAAAACAGGATACAATGTTGTAAAAGAAGTGGTGGGCCACTTCCCACTTAGCTCCCAGCCACATGGCTAGCTTATACCTGAAATAATTACACAGAAACTGTTCATTTAAACACTGCCTAGCCCATTAGTTCTAATCTCTTATTGGCTAACTCTCACATATTAGTTTAACCCATCTCCATTAATGTGTATCGCCACTTGACTGTGGCTTACCAGCATGAGTCTAACCAGCATCCATCTCGGAGAGGAGAGCCATGGCATTTGCCACACTGCCTTCTTCCTCCCAGAATTCTGTTCTGTCTTCCCCGCCTACCTGAGTTCACCCTACCAACTAGGCCAAGGCAGTCTCTTTATTTAACTAATGAAAGTAACACCTAGACAGAAGACCCTCCTACACCAATACAAGCAAAAGCGACTGCTGAACTTTGCCAAGACAGGGTAGGACAGTCTTTCAAATCTTGCTGCTTTTAAAAATGGTCTGTCTGATACTCTAGGCCTCAGTGAAAGCTGGTTGCCCCAACACTGCAAATGAGACTTTGGATGACTGCCCAGGTAGCCAGCCAGTTGTTTCTATCATTTTTTTCTGTGCCTTTTGGAATTTGATTGCTTACTCAGGTAACATTATTTTCCTCTTCAAGTCTTTGATGGGGTTGAAAACTAGACAGTCATGGCTAATATCCTCTCATAACATAGCTAAGGCATTTTAGGTACAAGACTCCAGGATAGGACAACTATTGAAATCTGTTATTTGCTAATTACCTTAGATTGGACATTTAGCATGTGTTTCTTGCCTGATGTTTATGATGGTTGTAGCTCTATTTTTGTGTATATTTTTGCCTTTTCTTTTTCCTGAATAATACTTGATCTTTGTTCTTATTGGATATAGTTTTGTATTAGGTTTAGAGCCCTCTTATTTAGACAAAAGGGGGAGGTGTTTGGGGAATTCATTCCACTAATATGTTTTGGGGTGCTGGCCCATTAGGGTGTTGCCTGAGGTACTACATATGGACTGATAAGCCCAGACAGGAAGCATGCTCACTCTCTCGTGTGGTAGTTGGAGATTTGACCACAGCTTCCTGTATCCCTAGGGTAGAAGATCACACCTGCTCTCTACCTTTATTGTGTGAGTGTTCCAAAATAAATATTTATCCTTTATTCCAGTCTATTGTGACTTCCTTACTTACACCTATAATAGGGGTTGAAAATTCTACCTTCATCATCCTACCATCCCAGAGGAGGTGCAGAATTAAACTGAAGTGACATAGAAAAGTATAATTCAGGCTTTATTTGAAATGGAAGGAGCCTACATATATGTTGACCAGGGCTAGAGATGGCTCAGTGTGCAAGAGTGGGGAGCCAAGTTTTCACTTCTAGCATCCGTGTAATGCATCAGGCATGGCTGTGGGCACATGTTAGCCACGGGACTGTGGCGGAGCGGAAGCATGGAAGCATCAGAGACTTGCAGCCTGAGTTCTATGTGGTTGTGAGTCACCCCATATGAGTTCTGGGACCTAAATGCAGGTCCTCTGTTAGAGCAGCCAGTGCTCTTAACTGCTGACCCATCTCTCCAGCCCTGTTCATAGTGGCTTTAAATGTGTTTTCTTTGATGAAGGAGACAATCTGTAATATGCAGACAGGATTGTGCAGTCTGAGGGCTTCTGGAACCACCTCTGTCATGGGTGGCAGCTGTAATAAACTTCTGTGTTAATTTCTCTAGCCCTAGCTTCTATAACAGGAGTGGGGCTGTTGGCCATGCCATTCAGACAAGGACTTAGCTAGTCCTCTGCACTGGGCTGTTACCTTCTGTGGTAGTTTGAATATAATTGGCCCCCATAATCTCATAGGGGGTGGCACTATTAGGTGTGGCTTTATTGGAATGGGTATGGCCTTGTTGGAGGAAGCGGGTCACTGTGGGGTGTGGACTTCAAGGGGAATGTGGTAGTTTAAATGTAATTGCCCCTCATACTCTAATAAGGAGTGACACTATTAGGTGTGACTTTGTTGAAGTGGGTATGGCCTTGTTGGAAGAAGTGTGCCACTTTGAGGCTTTGAGGTTTGCTATGCTTAGGATACTGCCCAGTATATCAGTTGACTTCCTGTTGCCTGCAAGATATAGGACTCTCAGCTCCTTCTCCAGCACCATGTCTGCTGCACGCTGCCATGATCCCTGTCATGATGATAATGGACTGAACCTCTGAAACTAAGCAAACCACCCTCCATTAAATGTTTTCCTTCTAAGAGTTGCCATGGTCACCACGTCTCTTCACAGCCCTGGAAACCCTGCCACACCTTCCAATGCGCTGATGTATACGTGTGCCCTTGCAAACCTCCCAGAACTGAAGAGGGAGCTATCCAGGTCCTGACAACAGAGGTGGAACCATGAGCTGCCTTTCTTCACGCTCTGCTTTCACAAACGGGATCCCTGCACTGAAGCTTTTCAAAACTCATTCAGAGTGGCTGTGGAGGCACGTGGCTTTGATTGGCACTCAGGCAGCAGAGGCAGGTGGATCCTTGAGTCTGAGGCTGGCCAATGATCCATAGTGAGACCCTGTATTAAAACCCCCAACACACAATTCTTATTCTAGGACAGGGACCTGGTTCAATGGTATAGCCTTGTCTAGCATGCCCACAGCCCTTGGTTCAGTCCCTACTACAACACCACAACCAAAAACAAGCAACCACATGCCCACACCAAAATGGCTGAAGGCTAGCTGTGTGTGGTCATTTGAATGCTAAATGTCCCCACAGGCTTTTGGGCCTGAGCACTTGGTCCCCAGTCAGTGGGCTGCTTTGGAAGACTGTGAAACCTTTAGTTGTCTTGCTGAAGAAAATGAATCACTTGAATTTTTACGGTCTGGTCCTAGTTCTCTCCACTCTCAGGTTCCTGACTGTGATACAATGTGAAAAAGCTGCCTATGCTCCTGCCAAGATGCCTCCCCCTCGCCCCTCAGTCACCTCTGGGCTGATCTGGCCCCAGCATCAAGGCCCATCCCTTGTATGTTGTGCATCATACCTGGATGCAGAAAAACACATCTGTGCGTTCAAATGCCTTCCCTGTCTAAGGTGATGTTTCCTTCTCAGACGCTAAGACACAAATGAAGACAAGCCAGCCAAGGATAGACTATTTCCATTTCTTAAAGGAATATGAATTTATTGATTTGATGTTCAAAATAGGACTTCTGCATCTCAGAAAATATATTTGTTTACATACATACAAACTGTAGCTGAGACCCTCGAGTGGCCCACCCAGACTCGTTCTTAGTGCATACACAATGATATCCGTGCTTTCCTTCCAGGACCAGTGGGCTTTTTCCTCCACCGCCTCCCCCAAGATTTTCTTGTGTCTCTCTGGCTGTTCTAGAACTCACTCTGTAGACCAGGCTGGCCCAGAGATCAGAGATCTACTGAAATCTGCCTCTTAGGTGCTGGGATTAAAGGCGTGCACCACCTCGCCCAGTTCAGTGCCAGGGGAATTTGGTCAGAAGAATCCCCCAGGCCCTGCCCACTACATTTACGGGTTGCACTTAGAGTCCCCCGCACGGTGTGCCCATTTTCCCCAATGCAGGGGCCGCCCTTTCGCTGCCTAGAGTCTCTTATGTTCAACAAAGCATGTGCCGGATAATTGACCCCAGAATGCCAGTGGCCGGGTGCAGTCCTGCGGTGACGCCGGAGCATCGGTGCGGTGCACGCATACAAACCGTGTGGTGCAGCAGGATTTGGTGAAACACTGAACCAAAAGACAGAAAGCTGCTGGCCTGAGCACACAGGGCAGCGAAAGCCGGAGCAGAGACACCAGAGCAGCAAGTGGGTTCAGATTTCATTTTCTGTTAGTCAGACGTGGATTTTCAGTTAGCTGGAGTTGATTTGTTCGGTTTGCCAGCTATTGGTTGCCTTATTATCAAAGGCTTAGAGACCATTGGTCGCTTTGAAGGAGGTTCAAAGCCACTTTGATTTGGTTTTGAGAGAGAATGTAGAAAGGGTTAAACAGAATGAAGTGGACTTCGCCTCCCCCAGGTGGAAGTTTGCATCTAAACTGAAGCCTTGAGCTCTGGCAGGAATTCGGCCTTGTGCCCCTCCCACTATTTTACAGCGTACCCGTAGATGTGGGGTCGCACCAAAACCCAGGACAGCGGAGCCTGGATGTGCTGCAGCTTGAGCTTCGAGAAGCTGGCCTGCTCCAGAGTCTTCCAGCTCTCTCTCGTTAGGTTACATCCGTCAAACAGAAGGAACCAGGTAGGATCCAGAACCTGCTGCCAGAAGTAATTCCAGGTGGACCGCTCATCTGCCACGTGCTCCATGAAGTAGAAAGCGCCTCCCTAAGAAAGAACACACACACACACACACACACACACACACACACATTTTAAAGATACTGGTTCTGGGAAAACAGCTTTAAAAGATGCGTGAAGCATAAAATTTCAGTGCCTGAGGCCAACTTTGAGAATTCACCGGTAAATTATAATGGAGTTAGGTAATGGGTAATGTAGTTTGAATTTCGGTCACATTTTATACAGCACTATCTGGGCAAGATAGTCCATGCCTGGAGTCTCCACACAAGAGAGGCTGAGGCGGGATGATCACAGTGGGACCACATCTTCAGGCCTGGAACAGGCAATTTTTCCCAACATTACATCTGGACCACACGTTGTTTATAATCTTTATTTTACTTCTTATCTGTTAGGTTTTTCCCAGTTTTTCACTATAACCAGCATTAATGTCTACCAATCTTGAGAGCACTTGTAATTTCCAAACAGCTACATTGTTTACAAGTGGGGGCTGAGTCCGTGGTGGGTGCCTTTTAAAACACCTTGGTAGTTTTCAAATTGCCCTTTGGGAAAATTCACTCACCTTTACCCTGGAGCTAGCATGCCCATGAAGGGTGTGCCTTAGTGTTTCCACGGCTACAAAGAGAGCCCTGCCTGCTTCCCCCCCTCTCCCTCTAAGCCTGGCACTGCACACAGGAGGCGCCTCCTCCTGCAGCACCTAAAGACCCTTTGTACTGGCCAACCTTGATCCTCCTGCCTCTGCAGGCCCTGGGGCTGGGGCTGTAGGTGTGAGTCAGGCATCTAGCTAATATAATCGCACTGTAATAGAGTGACGGCTCCTTAAGAGAAAAAAGCAGTTGTTTCCATGAGCAAGCAAGGATGGATATCAACAGGCAGACTTAAAAGGAACCCAAGTACACAAGCTTTCTAGTAAAAAGATTTTTCTACCTACTAAGAACCCTAAAGATAAGTGTATTTTTACCTGAGTGTTCATGTGTGAGTGCCCATGTGTAGGGCTTTGTGTGGAGGTCAGAGGACAACTTCCGGTATATGGCTTCTCAGGGGCAGTCCCCACTTTTGACCCAGCATCTCACTGGCTGGATTTCACCACCTTGACTTGGCCTCAGAGAGCTGCCGGTTTCTGACTCCCCTATTCTAGAATTGGTGTGTGGGCGCGTGAATGTGCACACACACACGTGTGTGGACAACAACAGCCGTTAAACTCAGGCAGCTTTCTCAAAAGGAGAGTCTACGCAAGGAAACTTGCCAGGGTTCTCTTATTTTTATATCTGTCGCTGCTCCTTCACAATCTTGCTTTTTACTGTTGTGCTTTGGTGCTCAGGGTTCTGACTCTCTCTCATGTTTGCTACACAAATGCTTCATGAATGCATTAACACCGAGTCCCTCTTTTTGTTTAAAATTTTTATTACATTATTAGTCTGAGTGTAAAAGCACAAGTGCGTGTGTAAGTGTGTGCACACGTGTTCTCTGCTCCCACCACGTGGACCTCAGGGCAGCAGACTTGACCGCAGTGCCTTTGCCGGCTGCGCTCTCTTACTGGCCGCCTCCCCCTTTCTGTCTTTTTGTTGTTGTTGTTCCTTAACTTTCGAAACAGTCTCACTTCACCCAGGTTGGTCTCGAGCTCACTACACAGCAAACTCATCCTGGCACTAGCTGGTCTTGAACTCCCAGTCCTCCTGCCTCAAGCTGGCATTGCAGGTGTGTTCCACCACATCTGACTTCTACTTAAAAACAAAACAAAAAATCTTTCAATTCATTAGCAAAGTGTTCCAAGGCACTGACTGTAAGTGCTGGAAACACAGGAGCTGTCGAAGGAGAGCAGGAACCTACTTACAGGTGCTGTGTAGACTAGACTGTGTTATTTCATTCATAATGCAAATGACAGCCAGGGTGGCATTCCATCCTTCGGTTTTACTCAGCCAGGGATAGTAAGTGATATTGCCTTTAGGGGAGAAACTGTACTTTGATTTTTCACCTGCAGCCCACGTAGGGCATGGACATGCTACCTAAGCAGCCCTGCAGCCCACGTAGGGCATGGACATGCTACCTAAGCAGTCCTGTGCGTTTCCAAGAGGGGAAAGAAACACATCTCCCTTTTGCTGGCCTTTGTTAAGCTACTCTGGTCCTGGACACCCAAAGGCAGAGTTCCAGATAGATTTCAGTTTAGAGATGTAGTTATCCCAAATTATACAGACAAGAAAAAAAAGCATATGTTTAAGAATAGAAAACCGAATTTCCATCTCTGTGAGTTCGAGGCCAGCCTGGTCTACAAGAGCTAGTTTTAGGACAGGAACCAAAAGCTACGGAGAAACCCTGTCTCGAAAAAATCAAAAAAAAAAAAAGAAAAGAAAACCGAATTTCCTAGTAAAAACGAAAAACCAAATATGTCATTTCCTCAGGCTAGGGCAGGAGACAGGAAGGCAAAGCAGAGATGGGCTTTGCTGTGTCTGTGAATGATTGTCCTGGAGCTTAGCAGGGCAGGGCGGGGCGGGGTGGAGCAAACTCTGCACGGGTGTTGAGATTCGGAAATCTGAGCAGGCATGTAGCTGAAAACACTCGGGACACGTGAGACTGTTGGGGAGGGTATATATGTGGAAGGAGAGCTGAGGGAGAGCTTCAGCTGAGGGACAGCAAAGGGGCAGAAATGCCGAAATCCAGAAGATGACAGTGATATTCTCACTGAAGAGCTGGACCTGGGCAGGGTGTAGTGGTGCATGTCTTTAATCCAGTACGTGGGAGGCAGAGCTCTGTGAGTTCACAGCCAGCCTGGTCTACTTACAGAGTTTCAGGCTAGCCTGGTCTAACTACAGAGTTTCAGGCCAGCCTGGTCTACTTAGAGTTTCAGGCCAGCCTGGTCTACTTACAGAGTTTCAGGCCAGCCTGGTCTACTTACAGAGTTTCAGGCCAGCCTAGCACAATTCAGTGAGAACGAGACCTGGATTCACAAGCATTGCTATATAACGTGGGTGTACTCCTTAAACCTCTTTTCTGAAAGGATCAGCATAAGAACCTGCCTCAGAGGGTTATGGTCAGGGTAAACTGAGGCTGTCATGATGATCTGGGCTCGATTAAGCAACCACAGACGCTAAGGAAGACAACCGAGGCCATGTCTGGTGTGTGTCAGGTGTGGCTACCTGCTAGTTTGATCGCTGCGCACCTGTCCTTGTGCCAGAGAGACTATGCTGAGCCCTCAGCCTCCCAGACACTGACTTTTGCCAGGTTTATGTGTGTTCCTGACTATGTGACAATCTCCATCCGCAGACAGGTTTTCTCCCGTTTCCACTAATGCCAATGCTCCGTTAATGACTATCCTTGTGATGGACAAGGTTTCGCACATGAGTAGCTGTAGATAAATTTCTAGTAGATAAAGTTGCTGTATGAGGGCCCCTTCCCAGATCCACCCCAGTACCTAGACTATGCCTCAGACAGTGTCACGGTTAAAAACGGCCTCTAGGTTTTTCTCATACAATGACTACTTTAATTTGTGTTCCTGATCTTGCCCAGTTGCTCATCTTGTTTGTTTTGTTTTGTTTTGTTTTTAACTCTGACCAGTTTTAAGAAACCCGTTGTCCTTAGTGGCTTGCCAATTGTTGTTTGGTTTGTTTTTTGAGACCGGGTTTCAGTGTGTAGCCTTGGCTGGCCTCAAACTCATAGACATCAGCCTGCCTCTGCCTCCTCAGTGTTGGCACTTGTAATGTTTTTTAACTCGGGGGTGGGGGGCATGAACCCTTCAGCTGTTCTGGGAGCTGCTGTTAGCAAGTCCGACATTTGAGCTGTCCTGCAGGCCCTTGCCTCTGCAGCTATTTAGAACTTTTTAAATTTTGATTTGTCAGTACTTACCTTTGCCGTTCTCCGCCACTCTTTAAAAAAAAAAAATCCTTCCCTGATTTTTTTTTTAAAGTGTACCTTTTAGATTAGAATACACCTGAAATTGACAGGACCACCCTTGGGGTTAGGGTCAGGGTTAGTACTCATCTATCACTCACCGGCCTCAGCACTCGGCACACCTCGCGCAGAATCTTCTCCTGGTTCTTCACCGAGCACAGCACGAGGGTGCAGACCACCACGTCCATGGAGCCATCAGCTACCTGGCTCATGTTCTCCCCGGCCGCCACCACGAAGCTCTCGAACTGCAGCTGCCGGTTCTCTGAGACGCTCTTGAACAGGAACTTCTCGAAGCTAGGATTAGGGTCGACACAGGTCACCCTGCACCCGGGGGGATAGAACTTAAAGTTGGCCCCGGTGCCGCAGCCCACCTCCAGCAGCGACAGCTTCCCCGAGGGGCCCGCGAACTCCTGCAGGTTGCTGAAAAGCTCCTTCTTTTTGCTCGCCATCTGCTCGTTGTACGTCACCGTGAACCGCGACAGAAAGTAGGGAAACCACTTTTTGCATATCCAGTTCCACATGCCTAAAAGGTTCAGCAGATACATGGGAAACGCCAGGATGCCGACAACCAGCCGGAGGACCAGGATGGCGAGCGACATCGCGGCGACTGGAGGAGAAAGGGCCACAGCCCGGAGCAGTCCTCTGGAGGAGGAGCAGGGCGCAGGCTCCGGGCCGCGTTCCAGAGCCAACCAGGAAGGAGGTGGCGCCGCTGAGCAGAAAAACAAAACCCAAGATTCCCTCCCCACCCCACCCAGGAGATGAGGCCGAAGTTGGCACAGCTGCGTGCGCAGCGGCCCAGGGCTGTCCCTCGTGGTTCCTCAGGAGAGTTGCAGCCAGAACTGCGATCTGGTCCTGCCTGGCCTTGTTTGGGTCTGGAGGCAGCGGCAAGGTTCTGCTGCGGTTTGTTATAAGCAAGGCCCTTTCACCTCACCCACCCAGCCAGTCGGCAAGTCCGTCCTGAGGAGAGTCCCCGCGTGGATTAGAGCCCCCACGGGATGTTTGACTGAGACCCCTCTCTCATAATTTAGTCCCCTCCTTTCTCCTCTCCCCAGGGCACCCCACCCAGGTCCTTTTTTTTTTCTTTTTCTTTTAAATAAAGAAGTGAAAGGGCTCTCCGCCTAGCCTCAGTCAACAGTTTCCCAAGTTCCTTTCTCAACAGAGGCTTTCATAGGTTAATAATTAATCCGAGGGATTTCTGCTAAGTCACTGTTTGACCCGCCTATGGTTTAAAGTGCAGTCGTCATTCTTCACCTTCATTACACTTGGCTATTGTGTAACAGCCTATGGGGTAAACTAGTGCTCAGGACAGTCACATCTATAAGTCCCCCAGTTTATAGCTGCAAGAATCTGTCTTGATGGGAGTGTTCTGGGTTTTTTTGCCAAAGGCAGGGTCTCACTCCTTAGACCAAGCTGGCCTTGAATTCTTGATCCTGCTTTGACCTCTCAAGTTTTGAGATCACAGACCTCTGTCACAAAGGCCATGCTGCACGGACTTCTTGGATTATTTATTAAATCATTTGCTTCTGTTTCTTCTGAGTGCTCGAACAGGTCTTCATGGAACTAAGTGAACTATCAAAGCGATTCTAAGTGAAGCACGGAGCTTTTGATGTGTGAATGGCAATAGAATCATAGGCACAGCTGGAAGAATTGAGACTCTAATATATTCACGCAGCTCTGCAAGTCTGATCAAGAAGTCATTCCACCGGTTTCCAGGTGAAATGGAGTGAGACAGCTCTAGCCTCTGACAACTGGCAGGGCAGTGTCGGCATCAGAGGAGGGAACAACCACAAGAGTGCGGGGGACCGGCGGAGCCGTGTTCTCTTTTGGATCTTCCTTTTATTTGATGGTGGAGGTGGATGGTACAAAGGACTGAGCCCAGGGCCTCACGCATGACAGGCAACTACCGGATCACTGATCCTAACCCTGGAAGGGGTGTGTAGGGATGATTTAAAGTCCACTCACACTTATATACCCTACACTTATGCAATTACAACAGCAGGACCTGATGGCACACACCTTAATCCCAGCACTGAGGAAGCAAAGGCAAGCAGAGGTGTGTGAAGTCTGTGAGACCAGGCTGACTTACACAGTGACACAGGAAACTCCCCCATCCCAACTGTAGAATAGAGAGGCCTGTCTCAAAAACAAAAAAGAATCAAACAAAAGTATCCTAACAACCAATCCATGAGTGTGTGTGAGCACATGTGTGTGCTAGAGCATATGCAGTTTTTTTTTTCATTTTAAAAATTTTATTTATTTATTTATTTATTTATTTGGTTTTTCAAGACAGGGTTTCTCTGTGTAGCTCTTTCTGTCTTGGAATTTACTCTATAGACCAGACTGGCCCGGAATTCAGAGATCCTCCTGCCTCTGCTCCCCGTCCCCCAAAAGTGCTGGGATTAAAGGCATGTGCCACCCCCACTGCCCAGATTTTTATTTTAATTGCGTGTTCACGTGTGTGCACTTGTCAGTCACCCATGTAGAAGGACAAGTGTCAACAGCGGATTCCCCTCCACCTTGCCGAGGGAGGGCCCCTCGTCTCTACAGCTGTGCTGAGCACCCCAGGCCAGGGCCTACTGGCTTCTAGTAATTCTGTCATTGCTTCCGGGCCACTGTAGGAGTGCTGGAATTGTGGGTGTACAGCACCCATTTACCTGGTCACTGGGTGTACTGCTAGTGCTTTTATGAGCTGGCCAGGCACACTTTTTTTGCACTTTTTAAAAAAACTATAGATAGTTGTGAGCCATGTGGTTGTTGGTAACTGAACTCAAGACCTATGGAAAAGCAGCCGGTGCTCTTAACCACTGAGCCATCATCTCTCCAGCCCCATTTTTGTTTTTGTTTCTGAAAGCGGGCGATGGATTCAGGGCCATTTTCTTGCTTTCCAGTCACACCCTACATCTGTTTATCTCATCACTTGTTGGCATATGACTGGATTGTTTCCAGTTTGGAACTATGGAAAATTAAGCTATTATCAGGCTGGACCTGGTGGTGCTGCCTTTAATCCCAGCAGAGGCAGAGGCAGGGGGATGGCCAGTCTGTTCTACACAGTGAGCTTCATGCCAGTCAAGGAAACACAGTGGGAGAGCCCTTTTCTACCATTGCGTGTGTATGTTTGTGTGTGTGCACATTTGTTGGGGGATGCGGACCCAGACCCTGAACTTCCTGTAAACAACTAGTTATGCTAGCAACTGCTCTGAGCAAAACAACTTGTTTCCCTGTGTTTTCAGCTGCTCCGGGCACAAGACCCTCAGGAGTTCCTGATGGCAGGAGAGTGGTTTCTGGTGGGTTTGTGATGTGGGAGTGATTTCTTATTAATAAAGAAACTGCCTAGACCCATTTGATAGGCCAACCCTTAGGTAGGCGGAGTAAACAGAACTGGAATGCTGGGAGAAAGAAGCTGAGTCAGGGAGTTGCCATGATTCTCCCACTCCAGACAGACGCAGGTTAAGATCATTCCTGGTAAGCCAGCTCTTGGGCTACACAGATTAATAGAAATGGGTTAGATCAATATGTAAAAGCTAGCCAATAAGAAACTGAAACTAATGGGTCAGGCAGTGTTTAAAAGAATACAGTTTCCGTGTAATTATTTCGGGTAAAGCTAGCCGGGTGGCGGGACACAGCCCACTGCTCTTATTTCAACAGAGTGGCACCCAACGTGCTAATGAACTCCGCGTAAAACCTGAGAGGGCTTAAAAAGGAGAGAGAGAGAATTTAAGACAGCTTTTTGCTGTTTGTGGGTTGCGTGCCGCAAAGAAATTGTCCTGACTCAGCAGCAGGAAAAAACTGGCTGTTTTAAAATGCCGGTTTTCTGGGCTGTGCCGCCATTGCGATCTCTGTCTGGATCCTGCGGGAGACAGAGGTTTTAAATGGAGCATTTGGAATAATGTGCTACGGCTTGGTTGATGGCAATGTGGACTGCTGTGTGCCTGGAACTGTATGTGGCTCAGGGGCACCAAATGGCTCTGAGGCAGGAGCGGCTAGGCTCCGACATGATGAACTGTGCTGGTCTCAGGCAGGAACTACCATAATTACCATAAAAATAGCGCAGTTAAGGTTTCGACTGGGCAGGAAACAGGCAGTACCGTATTACCTGTACATGGTGCAACTTAAGTTTTTAAGAAGTGTTTAACATTTTAAGAAATGCTCCTGGATAGTAAAAAAAAAAAATGTTACAGATTCACAATAAAACAGATTCAGACACAAAAGACCACACTGTTGGATGAATGTACGTAGGCTTGAGAGAGAGAAGATAAAGAATATAGAGAATAAAATTAATGGTTAAAAAAAAAGGGTAAAGTCTTTAAAGAGACAGAATACAGATAGTTATAGATTAAGAGAAATGAAAAATAAGCCACGTAAAAATGGAAAATTCACAGAGAGTCTGGATTATGTACATTGTGTTTTCTTTAAAATTTTTGACTGTGAAGGAGCTAAGTACAGAGAGACATTTCATTACATGGGCTGCCAAGCTAAACCAAAATGGATATAAGGGTATTACAATTTCAAAATTTGGGTCTAAGGATATGATGCTTTGGAAAGGGTCTTCTTTTGTTTTCACAGAGGACCAGACCCTGTGGATTGCATCTATCCTGATATGGTATGATAGACCACGCCCTCCTGAAAGGTTGCTGTAACACCCTCAAAAATTTACTTCGCTCAACTGCCAACTGAGATGAAACTAGCACACAGGTTATACCATGAAAGACCTCATTAACGACGCCCCCATTCAGCAGGAAGCAGTTTGGAGAGAAAAAACTGCGCCCATGTTCCCAAAATATTGTTTATAAATGTTCTTTTACATTTAAAGGGGGAAATGATATAGGTATGAATAATTTGAATTGGTGTGGATTTTAAGGTCAATTTTGTTATATGTATATGTATTTCTGATATTGATTAAGGTATTGTGATTGTGTAGTTCTTTTAAAATGTAATGTATAATAGGAAATATAGGTTGCTAATGGATAATCATCGATGATAGTAAAGTTTGTAGTCATGTTACTTAGATTTTCTAGATATATAGAGATATATTTCAGATAGGCATTCTTCATATCTCTCAAAGGCTACAGAATATGGCATTTAAAATATTTTAATAACTTAGGACTTTTCATGACAATGAGACATATCTGTTCCTGGTGGCACCAATCTACTTCGAGAGGAAGATGGGCATCGAAGAGGATCCTTATGGAGTTGGATGGCCATTTGGGCAAGAAACTGCTCTTGCCTGGACTGTTGCATAAAATGGACACAGAGAACCCGCAGAGAGAGGACTGCTGAACTTGCCTAAAGGTGAGACGGTCTTTTGGGGTTCATGACTCATGAAAGAGTCTGTGAGACATTCTGCAGGACACAGCAGATAGTGACTGAACTGTCTTTGAAATTTCCTGCTTCATGAAAATGTCTGCTGGATACTATGGGCCTGAAGGCTGAAGATGGATGCCCCAACCATACAAAAGAACTTTGGGTGACTGTCCAGGCAGCAAGATGTCTCTGTCATTTCTAGAGTTTTCTTATTTCTTGTTTACTTAGGTAGTATTATATCCTTCTGGAGTCTTTGATGGAGTTAAAGAATAAATAGATAGTTATAGTTTTCCTTAGTTATGATAAAAGATAAAATAGATATAAATATTGTAACTGTAATTCTTGCTTGATAACTGTTTTGCTATATGTAATTTTACTATGTTAAAGTTAAAGCCTTTCTTTTTTGTTTAAAC